GTTTTCGTAGAAAGATTGCCAGATTACAAAATATGAAAACAAAAGCGCAAATTGAGTATAACTAGAGGGTCTTAAAGTGTCGTTCTTACTGCACTGCTGAAGTGATTTGTTATTCTGTGCATTGATTTATTCTGTGCATTGATTTGTTAGTTACCAAGGATGGGTCCGAAATGGATGTGCGCTAGGTAATATTATGCTGGATAATTTTAAAAATTGACGATAAATAGTTTTAGAAAATAGATGTTTATTTAAGAAAAAATATAAAAATTTTAATGTTGTAATTTTTGTAAAAAATTTTTTTGAGTGCTCCTCACACTATACAATATCAGAAAGCACTCTGTTTTGCGGATATAATCGTGTGGGCTAATGAAAAGATTTTTTTTTCTCCGTTTTTTTTTAAATAAAATTTCATCCTTTTTTCTTTTATATATATATATATATATGACATCGCTGCCTGCCGAGTAGAAGGATAAAAACGTGTCTTAGGCAGGGAAAGAAGGGGCAAAATTTATTTAATTATTATTAGACAGAGAACAGTTATCAAAGTGACACGAAATCGTTGTGCTCCTCAATGAAAGTTAGCGAAAATCATGCAAAGTAAATCCGTAAAATGCTTTGTTTTAGGGAATAAGAGAAAACTTAGTACAAAAGACAGGATGTGAATTTTAAAATGTGAGAATGAGCGTGTTGTTTTGAATAATAAATTAAGAAAGAGATTTATATTAAAAAAATAACAACAACAATTATATGTATATATATATATATATAGTAATTGATATTTAGTAGAGAGTTATAAAATAGTATAATTTCGATAAATCAACGTAATAGGGTAATACTGCATTTTATTAGTTACTTTTAAGTGCAACTTAACTATTTACTCAAATTATATGCAACAAATAAAATATTTTAACGAGAAAAGTTTTAACGAAGAATCAGAGCTATAAAGTTTTTAATTTTATAACCCAAGGAAGTTTCCTATGAAAATATATAGAAAGCTATTACTGACGAATTGCTTTTATTGATTTTGGTTTTAAAACAAATATTACAGTAACTGCTATTCTAGAAGAATATTCTTCATTTTAAGAGCTCATATATTTTACAGATAGATTAGAGCTGAAGTTTTAAGAAAAATATTTCTTCCATCGTAATGTGTTGCCCTATTTATAATAAAGATATCATAATAATTTATGGTTACTGTTACTAATTGGTTAAAAAGTCTTTAGTTACAAAAGTATTAAAACTTATCTCTTTAATGATGAATACCTGCGTGTAATTCTAACTAACATTCATCTCTTCTTTACTTTAGAGATATGCGGGGCATGGGTGAAAGCGAGACGAAAAAGAGGGTAATAAATCCATTTAAGTTTTTACTTGTTTTCGGGAGGGGTCAATCTATTCTCTTCTTCGAACTATTCAACCATATCTTCTTTTTCTAAGAATCGAAGCAGTTTTATACATATACTATGATTGTAAAAAAAATCTCGGTAGTTACAAAAACTCATTTAACGAATGGGTTACTCATTTATCAAATTTGGGTTAGCATGTATTATATACTAGTGAATTGATGTTTAATATTTGTGGTGGTAGTTACGCAACAAAACTCCATTGTCATAATTTATCAGGGATTGAATTCGATGAGCGAATACCACTTATTGCGTATTTGTGAAAGACCGGGAGAGCTGTGTTAAGTTCACCGGCGTTTGAGCACTTGTGGTAAGAGCTCTATTACGTTCACCAGTTTTGAGCTTTTGTTGTGAGAGCTGTATTAAGTTCACAACTGTGTGTGTGTGGTATCTCCTGTATTGCTATGTTAAATTCACAATTGTGTGGTTTCTCCTGTGCAGGATCCCGTTGTGTGTAAATGAGACTAAATGTAAGACCAAAGGCACGAGGAAGACGATGACGCAGTCACAATTAGCAAGTCAACTGTTCAATGTGGACCATCCATTGAAATGGACGTTACTTTCGATATAGGCGAGTTTATATCACGATCGCAGGTCACCAATGTGGGGAGAAAGGTTGTTGACTATGCCAAACTACTTCCATCAAAAGATACCTCAAGATAGAAAAAGGTTAGCATTGTCGAAAGCTCTTTCCCCACATGGGTGACCCATGCCATCGATTGTTGACTTTTCAGCACCATCTCTCGGACTCTGATACAGATAGAAGCAAAATTCCATCTCAATGTATGTCTGCATGCTAATAACTTGATAAAGGAATCAATCATATAGATCGTATTTTTATCAGCAGTTAACAAATTTTCAGCGGGTGGTTTATAAACAATCACCTCTTTACATGATTCAGGCAAAACATCTAAAAACCGAAATTTCATTGACGAAAACATTTGTTAAAGATAAAATCGTTAGCTGGCACTGAAGCAGTATTTTTCAAAAATATTTAAACTCAGCAGTCGAAACCACTAGAAAAAATAACTTAACTAGAAATAATACCCTGCAAAAAATGATCAATATAAATCAATAAAGTTATTTATTGGTCTCAATAGAGTTTTATTGTTCTGTACTTGACAATTCAACTGATGTCAACTGACATCAGTAGCTTACTGGAATCAATAGATATTGGTCAGTAGGATATTCTATTGGTCTGTATAGGTTTCTACTCGCACTTCAACTGACATCAATAGGGTATTTATATCAATAGATATTGATCAATTCGTATTCTATTAGTCTGTACTTGTTTTTATTAATACATTCACTTATATCAACAGAATTCAAATGACGCCAGAAACACGTACTTATATCAATAAATATTGATCATTATGACATTTTAATTGCAAGTAACAAACAGTATACAAAAGAACAAATATAACTGTGCTGTTAAAAAGTTACTATACAAAAAATAAGAAATAAAAAAACATCTGAGTCCATGCTCTTCATTTTCAAAACAACTTGAAACAGCATTTTCCGCATGCAGTAGCATTCTTGTATCATGTTTTGAATACAGTTCAGGCGCATCTTTAAGTAGCAAATTGCTATTTACACGGCTTATGATATTGCACTCTAGTCCAAGCGTCAGTGTTAGACCTTTTAACTGAGTAGGATCTACAGAAGACCATTCTTTAAAAAAAATTTGTTCGTTCAGATGATGCCAAATAAATTTTATTCTGAGTGATTTAAAAATTTTTTAATCTTTGTACTATCAAATGCTTTTACAAAACTGAAAATTCAGTATCATCTGTTTCTCCTATACCCCAAGCAAGGTAGTTAAAAAGCAACGAAAGAATTATTTTTTTATCCAATGGCAAAATGGGTCCTGGTTTGGATTTGATGGCGTCCACACACTTTTCAACTATGTTCAAGAGTGATAGTAAACAGTGCGCATGCGTCGTCATTGCATGCGTTGCTATGGCGACTACTGCTGTTTTTCTTTTCACTAGCAGGCATTTTTAATGTATTTACATAATAATAATTTAAAGTATTTTTATATTCTTTTTATTAACGTATAATTACTGGCTTGATGGTGATTCTAATATAAATATGAATGTTGAAAAAGGAAAAGTATTTTGTGACATCTTGAAACACGTACATAGCCAGTATATGAAAATCAATCCGACAACAATCATCAATGGAAGACAGTTTTGTGCAACCCATGATTTGAAATGTTTAAACGGCGTCAATCCAGAAAGAAAAAGCATTTGACCAATGGTTAACCAATGATACTAATAAGGAGATCACAACTTTTTTGTTGACTTTTTTTTTTTAAATATTCGGGGCTTTAAATTATTAGCAGTTGGGGGCAAACAATAATTTAAAGACGGGGACTGCAAGATTTTTTGCGCAAAATTAAAGCTGATTTATATATAAATCCTTTTGCCTCGTTATCATAATCTTGAGTTATTTTCATACATAAATTGGCATATCTTCTGTTTCTGTTCATTTAGTTTCATTTAAATCTAGAAAAACTGATTTATCTGAAGCATTGCTGTTTAAAATAAGTTCAGAAACACTTCGTTGTTTTGACAAACAGAGGGTAATTATGCTGCAGCCACCGTTTTAGCTGCCAATTGCTTACACATAAATCAGTTTCACTTAATGGACTATTTTTTGTCATAGTTTCGTTCCAAATTTTAGATAATTTGTTCATTTGAAATACCTCTAAGTTATTAATGATTCTGGGAGCAACAACAGCTGCACTAAATGACTTGTCAGCATCTTTATGTAACAGAGAAGAAAAATCATCCATGGCGATATTTTTGAAAAATTTAGTGCATTTGATAAAAGCAACTTTCATGATGTTATGCTTCTTTTGCAATTAAATCTATTCCACGAATTCTAATTAAAATATTCTCCTCTTTTTTTTCGTAGCAGTTTCAAGCAAGGCATTATTGGTATGAAAGGTCATGCAGTGTGAAAGTTTTTCTCTACACTTTTAAAAATAAAACGCTCACTTTTGACGATTCCACAATCCTTGAGCTGTATTTCGTTAATTTTGAGAATCATTTCGTCACGAAATTATGTGATTTGGTACGAAACTCTCAATTTAATGACGAAAATTCTTCTTCAATCCGGAACATAATCGCCCTTAATTGTGGGTAATTGTTAACTTGAATGACGAAATTAGAAGGAAGACTAGATGATCAAAACTAGAATGATGAAATGCTTTTTTTTTGTTGACGAAAATCGTTCCCTCGAAGAATAGACGATTATTATTTCGTCACTATGACGAAATGTTCTTTCGGATCATATACTAGGAAACGGTTTCGTCAAGTTTCGAGAAATTTGAGTATCCATTATTTACAGTGTGTTGCGTATTTTGCTAACATTTGCGGGTGCAGAATTTTCTTTTTCAGCTAATAAACACATGTCAGGAGAAATACCCAAATTTTTAGAACTTAACGTAAGAGATTTTGACTCCTTTTCTCCGTTTTTTTTTCTTTTCGTTTTTCAATCTTCGCTGGTCGCGTCTTATCTGTAAATAAAGCATAAGATGTTTGTAACATTCCAGATTAAAAACTTTAACGTTCTTTGTTTTTTTCAGTGCACTCCTCTACACCTGAGCCACAATGCACGTTGATGGAACTGAACAGATGTTTGGTATCGCTGCAGACACAGAGTAACGACTTAGCGTTTGCGGCTAAAAAACATGAGCTTCTCGCTCTTTGCAGGTGAGTCCATAATTTCTTTAAATATATATATGTGCGTGTATAAGTTCAAAATGAAGATAAAACAAAGGAAAATTACAGACAGATGAAAAAAAAGGGGGAAAAGAAAAATAATAACAATAAAAAATAATAAACNTATATATATGTATATAAGTTTAAAATGAAGATAAAACAAAGGAAAATTACAGACATATGAAAAAAGGGGGAAAAGGAAAATAATAACAATAAAAAATAACGAACAACTGGGGGGAAAAAAAGGATAAATTTTTTTTTTAAAAATCCGGAAAATAAAAGATATAATCTTTCATCAGCCCACACGATTATATCCGCTTAAGCGGATATAAACGTGTATATATATATATATATAATAACTATTTAGTGCAGGCAGTTAACAATGAATTAAGATTTGTTTTATTGTAAAAAACCGTTTAAAATATTTATTGATATCACAATAAGCAAATTCAATCTGGTGGAGTAGTACTTTGCCCATTTTCCTAATTTTATTTTATTACAACCGACCGAACTTTCAGTTGACGACTACCAATGTTCAACTCCGTATCGTTGTAATTTTGAACCCAATCTAGAAGACAAGGAAACTCCTGGATTAAGTATTGGGAGAAATTTGCCTTTGTGGAAGACTTTTTGATGGAACTGATCCGCAATTGTGTTACATAGAGAGAAAAACCATGAAAATCTCTCACTGTTATCCTGGTGGTAAGGGGACTCTAACCCATGACCCGTTTACCACTGAGGATATTTTACGTTAGCCCCGTGGTCGGTGCGAACAGGATGCGGAATTTGAATCAGCCGGTTCACCCCATTGAGAGGCCAGCCCTCTATCCCCTGAGCCATCTCGGCACCCGTTTCGTAATTATTCTATTGAAAAATACGCTGATTTTTATTAAAACTAAAAGTATCAGATTGATTAGAAAATGCTGAAGAAGATTGAAATTAGATTGACTGTCCAGTGGCTGCCTTAGAAAAAAGAAAAAGAGGACTTTTCATTTAGCTAGCGACTTAGCCATTAAATTAGCGTACGTTCTTTATTAATTACGGATTTATGAGTCCCGTTTAATCACTTTTACGTTACTGCCTATGCCCAATCGCATGAAGTCTAATGGAAGAATTAATTATAAAAAAAAAAATAACACGTTTAAAGCAATCGGATTTCCATTAGATACTTCCAGAAAATAAAAAGTTTTCAGGAAAAATTCTTAACATGAGATGCATTCATTACGGACACAATTATTCATTTTTTTCTCCAGAAAAGTCTTTCTGGAATCTTTCTCCGTTACATTAAGTTAAAATTGATTTTTTGTTCTGAAGTATTTCGAAGAATATTCAAGCAATCTGCATAAGGGATTTTACTTTCATATAGCTTTGAAGACAGCAAATTGATCCGCATGTTCCAGATTTTTTGGAAACTTTTAACAATACCCTACTTTACAAATAGAATCTTAAAGTGGGGACTTAAAATTTGCTTTCTTTAGTTTCCTCCATGTAAGTATATAGATATATAAAAAGCGACTGGAATTTATTCTAAGCTTCTTATCCTTTACTGACTGCAATTTTAATGAGCCCGCTATGCTGCTGTCGTACAGATTCTGCGGTGAAGGTGCTGCACATCAAAATTTTTATATTTAAAATACATTCTTCTTTTTATTATCTGCATAGATCTTTGAATTCGGAATGTGGATTGTCCTGAAATACAAATTTTTAAAGATAATGAGCAATATTTTTAAAATAAGCAACATAATGTGAACTAACTTATAGGGTGATGTCATCCACGTTGAGTTTGTTCTGAGCATAATCGAATCCGAGGAATTAATCGTGCTTCATGATGATAATATTAATTTTAATTTTTTGGATTTGGACATTAAAACAGAAGAAAATATCGGCTTTGTTGATTTATACGAAAAAAGAAATGATTTTAATTTTAATCTAAATAAACTTTACTTGGAATTCTAATGTTTCTAAAAAAATATACTTAAATACCATTTTTAATCAAAGGAGTAGAACTAAAAGAAGATGTAATGTTTATTTATCCAAAAAAACAAGTAGACAAACTCTTTCAAAATTTGATAAAAAGCAATGGATACCCAACTAAAGTAATTAAATTCTATGTTAAATCATTGAGTTAATTGTATATCATTATAAATAAATTTACTAAAAACTTCTTTATCAATTTATATATTTTTAAAATGTGCAAATCCATTTCGGGCAAATTCGTGGGCAAAAATTTGTGCAAAACGGGCAATTCTTGTTTCTTTCACTCTCTTCTTTTTTCGTTTCTTAAATAAGAGTTAATTTTCTAAAATCAATAAAATAGTCTAATTAAATGTCAACCTTCTTAATAATAAATAAATTATTAAAAATAATTAAAAATTATGCAGTATATATATATAATATTATTACCTTGCGCACATCCGTTTTCGGGCCCATCCTTGATAACTAACAAATCAAACGCACTTCAGCACTGTAGTAAGAACACTCTTTAATACAAAACCCCTCTATTTACGCTTTTACCTTAATTTGCGGTTTTGGTTTCGTATTTCGCAATCTGGCTATCTTGTTACGAAAATATTTTAAATCATTCTTGAAAAATTTCCCGCTCATGTAAGTTCAATTGAATTCGCTACTCGCTTTATAGATTTCGTTTTCTCTCTCGTTCTGTTTTTACGTGATATTTTTACTTAATGTGTTCTATTTTATTTCCTGTAAATTTTTTGTAAATATTTTTTTTAGTGTTCCTCTCACTATTGTATTGATATATTTTGCTTTGGCTATATTGATATTATAAAAAGCACTCCTTTTTGCGGAAATAATCGTGTAAGCTGATGAAAACAGTATATTTTTTATTTTCCGGATTTTTATTAATTTTTTTCGGTTTCATTTTTTTATTATTATTACTTTTCTTTTTCCCCTTTTTTCATTGTTTTGTAATTTTTTCCATGTTTTCTCTACATTTGAAACTTATTTTATGAGTTCTATTTACTTGCAGCTTATTCGCAGTAAACAAAACTTATTGTTTTTCTTAATTTTCTTCGTGTTTTTTTTCTTTTTGTCCTTTTTGTATTTATTTATTTTTGTATTTATATATATATATCCCCGGATAACCCTGAATATATATAAAGAAGACGTACTAATGCACTTACAATTAATATGTAAACTTATCTTTAAACAATTTCAAAATGGTCGAAATAAACTTGAAAATAATGAAATAAAAAGTCAAGAAAAGAAAGAAACACCCTTTTTTTAGAGCTTAAAACTTCCCCCTCTGAATCTATTTAGTCTTTATTCTTCCTCCAGTGATTATTCGAACTTGTGATTTCCGACTCGCCGCTCTTACTTAAACCTTGATTCCTGAAATTCGTACTCTGACATTTGGCATATTGATTTAATATTTTTTGTTGCTGTATTTTAACATAGCATTTCACTTTTAAAGTCAAAAAAAGCTTTTTAAATGGTATTGCTCTTTATACACTAAAAACCAAAATGATCTTTTTTTAAAAAAGGAAGAAAAAAAAAGAGATATAAATATAACTTTTCGAACAAAGTACTTAAAAAAATATTTTTACAGTGCTTGACTATGGAAAGAACAAAGAAACTTATACTCTCTGAAATTAAGTTTTGCTTCCAACTCATTTTGCATAACTTACGCGCTTGATTAAACTTGCCCTAAACTATAACAATTCCAAACTAGCAATTGCAAACTAATTATATGCAGATTGTTTTTTGACCAAACACACCTCCCTCGATCTATCCTCCTTCAAAAACACATAAAGCGAGCAAATAAATCAAATTTTCACAGAGGAAAGATTCCCAAAGTGTTCTTACGGGGAAAATAAAACCCTTATCGCGTTGTTGTTGGGCTTCGTGAAAAAAAAGAGAACTACTTTGGGAATGTAGATTACTCTCTAACACGTTAAGAGAAAGTTAGAGAAGAGGCTTAGGGCGACCCAGAAAATCCTTGAAGCCGGTCATTTAGGACTCGAACTTACTTTCATGAATAACAAACAAGCTCTGCTGCCACGAGCGTTCTATTGAAAGAAGAAAATGGCTAGATATCTTCGGCAGCGTTGTCTGAAAGAAGCGGCAGAAGAATGAAAATATTTTTTTTTTGGTTTTGTTAGAATAGCTTAGTTAAAGCAGAGGAAAAAGTTTGGGATAAGTTCGTAGAGGGAGAAAAACATTCCGAACGATGTAGCAACAAGTTAAGCAAATCGTGATCCTAGTTGGGAAGTTAATGTTTGCATGGGGAGAACTTAAATCAGAACATTAAACGCGTAGTCTACCTTTTAAAGGAAGCCTAGAATAAAATAATGGCGTTTTTATTATCTTTAATGTTTTCCATACTGTCGCTGATTTTTAGACTAAACATTCATAATATTGTTATTTTTTAAAGTTTCGCAGAGGGGGAAAAACCCTTCAATTATGAATTGTAGATGAGTGGTATTTTTTAATCTACTCCCGACCGTGTTTCATGTTCTCTAAGTTAAGGGGCAGTATTTGTAGAGGTTGTTTCAACTTCCGGTAGAAGATTCAGGTGGAAGAATTTCTGCTGGTATGAACTAAATTGCGTAAATCCTCATCTCAAATACCAAGTAATTGCATATCAATATAGGATAACTCTGAAAAGTACTTTTTTTTTCATATTTTCATCTGATATTTTTTTCATATCTTCATCTGATATTTTACGAAGAACACATTTTTTCGCAAAAAATGGCACAAAAGTTAAGTTCAGAACAACTGAGTATTCCGAGTATATACAAACAAATCCGGAACGTCAAAAAAAGAAATAGTCACATCAATGCTATGACGTCAGAAGAGAACCTTAAGACTTCCGGGAAGGTTTGTTTTTTTAATATAGACGGTGAATATATGAATGCATTCTTATACATTTTATAACTTCCTTGCTTTAAAACAAATTTTAACTGCTTTAAAGAGCCTGTTATTTTAACAAAAATGTGTAATGAATTGTTACAAAATACTTATTTACTTTAATTGGAGTCTTTAATTCAATTTGATAAGTTTTTAATACTTTTTAATACTTTTTGAATTTAATATTTTATTAATTAAATTAAAATAAAAATTAATATTGACCATTTTATTCAATTTACTATTTCAATCTACTATATGAATTGTAAAGTCTTACAGTTATAGTTTTTTTAGAAAATGAACCATAAGTTCAACATTAAAATTTTAAATTGTTTTATAATACAATTTTAAATTTAACTCATAATGTTAGTTTTCTAAACTCACTGACAATAACTTTATTTTATAAACTAATTTTTAATAAATCTAATGCTCATATATTGTTATTATTTAAAACATAAATAATTTTATTTCGTTCTTAATTTTTTCAATGATTAGACATTACGTAATATTTAAAATATATAGATAATTGAATAAATTTTTAACCGTAAAATAAGAAGGTGTGTATTAAGAGAGCTTTAAAATAATTTAACATATGGGATAAGTGGAATACAATGTACATTTATATTGGTTATTAGTCATTTTACTATAATTGGACACCACTTTTATAATTATAACAAAAATTGAAAGAAGAGATCCAGACATTAGGGAGCAACCTGTATTCCTGCATGATCCAGCTAGTGTATTAAATAAAGAAATTTAATACTTAGTTTATTCTTCATAATTATATGATGAAAAATTCTGCATTTTTATATACATTATGATGCATTCAATGCTTCAATAAAAGGTTCTCCATTTCCACCTTGCAAAGAAATAAAACATCCAGAGCAGTTTTAAAATTATCTTATTATATTTCAAAAGTATTTTTTATTTAACTAATTTAATTATCATAATAGCGCTAGATAAAATTGTGTCATATGATTGAAATTTGAAAATACCGTTAACATTTAATTAGTCCACATTTGTGATTTTTAAATGTTCTATATTGCTTAAATATATCTGTCAGTATTTGGATGCGTATGTTCATATATTGCATGAAAAGTTTATAGGATTATAATTTTTTTAAATCCTTAATTTACCTTATTAATTTTAATGTAATGATATGAAAAGCTGTAACATCTTTCTATTTTGATTTAATAGATGTGTTCTATCAGTTACAATTTAATTTTAAATATTATTATTATATTTTATTATTATTACCCATTGGTAAAATGGGTGTTGTTTTGCGTTTGATGGCGTGCGCACCTTATTTGGATATCATCACACTTTTCAACCATATTCAAGAGTAAGAGTAAACAGTGAGCATGCGTCGTCATTGCATGCGTTGTTATGGCGACCACTGCTGTTTGATATATTTTTTTTTTTTTTAAGAATTCTTTCTTTTTCACTTTTAATTTTGCTATGCATTAAATTGGTGAGTTTATTTTTGAGATATGGGACCAGAGAAATCTCAAAAATCGCGTAATCATCTGGAGTAGCACTTTCGGATACCAATGTCTCTTGAAAATTTGGTTTTCGGCGACCTTTTGCTCTGCTGGTCGATGTTTTGTAGTCTCTATCTGTTCCCACTTCTTGATGTTTCGAATAACAATCCCTTGCTATATGTCCCGGTCGTCTACAGGAGTAGCAAATTTTTCTAGGTAAACTCTTCTTCTGAGTAGCATATGCGGATTCCAAATTTCTATGTCCACGGGATTTCTGTAGTAAATCTTTTTCTTCTTCCCTTAAGACTTCAAGTATTTCTTCTATCGACTTTTCTCGTTGCGTTTTTAAAACTTGTTTTATGCGCTCATATTTTCCAGCTAGACCTCTGACCGTGTAGAACACTAATTCTCTGTCAGATATTTTCAGTCCCAAGGAAGCACACTTAGTCGATAATCCTTTAGCTCGAGCTATATAATCGTTTACGGCTTCTGAATCCAGCATTTCTAAGCTCTTAAGTTCGGCACCCGCATCAATCTTTCTATCTTCCTCAAGCCCAGTGTAGGTAGTTTTAATTCTTGTCCACAAAGCTTTTGCATTCTTTTCTTCTGCATATTGCAAAGCCTGTTCGTCTGATAGAGACAATTTCAAGTATGATACGGCATCTTGGTTTGTAG